GCGGCGGCGGGGGCTGGTGCACGGGGTCCAGGGCCGTGTTGTGGACGACCTTGCTGAGCCCGGCCTCCTGCTTGATCTTGAGCTTGAGGCCGATGCGGCTGCGGGCCTCGTAGGTCTTGATGGGCGGGCGGTTGCGGGAGGGCATGGGGCCGTCCTCGTCGGCGTCCAGGGAGGAGGCGGCGGAGGACGAGGAGCACGAGGACAGCGAGGAGGAGGAGGCCCGGGCCCAGCTCACGGAGGGGGAGCCGCCCGCGCCCCCGTGCCGGATCACCAGCTTCGTGGGCAGGTGCAGGGGGGGCTGGGCCGGGGCCCCGGGCGCTGAGGACGGCGGGGGGCCGTGGCCGGGGAGCCGGTGTCCCTCGGAAGAGGCGGCGACGGGGAGGCCGAGCGAGCGCGAGGAAGACACGTACTCGTCTGCAGACAGAGGAGGGAGGCATGAGGCCCCGCAAGCGCAGAGCTGAGGAGCTGGTGGGCACTGGCCCCTCCTGACCGTTGGGCTAAGCCCTTGACTCTTCAGACCCTCAGGACACACTGCCAGGTACGACCCTTCCCGGCAATTCCCAAGTCCCCCTAATGTGCCAGCGGGGGGTGGCGCCGGAGAGTGGACGTTCCCTTAAATTTTGCAACTCAGGCACCTCCCCTGTTTCCCCCTAGTCCTGGCTCTGCTCTCCTGCTTTTCTCTCCCCCTGGGTGGGGGACGGGGGCGCAGCATGTTCCCTCCATGCCAGGATCAAGGGGTGAAATGGACACGCGGTGATGGAGGAAGATGAACTCAGTTCTCTCTGGTCGCAGCCCAGAGGTCAGGGGAGACCCAGCCGTGGCGGGCAGGCGGGGCTCGGGCGCCGCCTAGTGGTGGAGTCAGAAGGCCACGCACCCCTCTCCCCGACGTGGCCCCAAGTCCAATTCTGGGGCGCTGCGCGCGTAGCAGCGGCGGACACCTCTTCCTCCCCTCCCCTCTCACCCGGCTTCTCCTTGGCCAGCTGTTTGTCCAAGGCAAGGGTGGTCTTCTCCTCCTGAATGAACATTCGGTCGATCATGACCATCTCCGCTGAGGGGCTGACCCTCTGAGGGGGGAGAGAAGATGGGCAGGTGAAGAAGCCAGGAGGGGGAGGGGACCCGAGCAACCGGGATGGCTGGGAGCAGACTGCAAACTGCCCTTCTTGTGATCTCACACCAGCCTCTCTCCCTCCCTCAGTCCCTCCAGAGGAGCAGGCCTCACCCTGCCCAGAGGGGACCCAGGGAAGGGCAGGGTCCCCGGGGAGGAAGGTGACAGCCACCCTACCCGGGACTCCTCCAGGAGCAGGAGGCGGTATTTATTGAGCATGGCCTGGGTGCGTTTCAGCAGCTGCGTGGAGACCGTCTCAAATTCCTCGTCCACTGCGGAGGAAGAGAAGAGGTCCAGAGCCACAGCCGCTGGGGACGCGCACGGAGCCGGCGCGCCCCGACGCGCAGAGGAGCGCGCACGCAGGGTTGCGCTGGCATCTGATCCTCCCCACCCTCTGCAGTCCCCGCCAGCCCCCTCCACATACCAGGGACCCGACGGGGAGAGTCCGGGAGGGCTCACCTTTGTGGTAGTCATTCGGGGAGGGAAGGGCGCCCTGGTAGACGTGGTAGGGCAGGAGGCGATGCAGGGCGTCCTCGAAGGATGGGAAGGCTGTCTTGTAGTCAGGGTGCAGGACGGAGCCCTGATGTTTGTGCAAATGCTCCAAGAAACTGGGGGTGGGTGGGGAGAGAGCACACACACAGAGAGCTGGTGGTGAGGCCAGGAGAAGGCGGATCCCCACCTGAGCGCAGACAACCGCAGGGGAAAGAGAACGCTTCGTAACAATGGGTGTTAATCTGTGCTGAACATGCCGGCTCTGTCTCACTGAATCTCTGGCAGCAACCAAAGGAAGTGGGGGCTGTCATTATCCCCACTTTACAGATGAAGAAACTGAGACTGCGAGAGGTGAGATCCCTCCACCCAGAGCACATAGACTGAGGAAGAGGCAGAGCTGGGAGGCAGATGTCAGAGCTTGCAACTCATTCTCCATGCTATACTCGCTCTTGCCACCTGGGGTCATCATGTCCCCACACTGCCTTGGGCCCAACAGCAACCTTGGGGAGAGGGGAGGGAGGCTGGTTAGTGGGTTGGTGGGTGGGTCGGTAAGATCCTCTTCTCTCTCACCGGGCTGATTTCTACCACAGCACATATGACAGTGACTTATGTCTCTTTAGTGTGTGGTTGTTTCTCCCACCAGACATGCTGGTCTCCACCCTGTGCTGAAGACCAGAGGCCCCCAAACGACACGGGGCAGGTCTGTCTGGTGTTTCCAGAGGCCAGCACGGGACTGGGCAACGAGTGAGTACTTGATCAACACTCTCGGTGAAGGGAGGGCAGAAGAGAGGGAAAGAACACACACAAGCATCCAACATTTACCCATCCGTCCACGCAAACATCCATTCATCCACCCACCCATCCAAAACACCCATCCTTCCACCCATCCATCCACCCACCCAACCAAAACACCCA